CGTACTACGTAATGTTTTTCACGTAATTCTTGAAAACAAGAGCAGTTTTTTCTGCTTTCACTAGCTTAGGCAAAAAACAATCTGCAACGCAAGGGACACCGTTTCGTCCTGCATAACTCAGTGGGTTCCTGGCCCTTGAATCTTCGATGTTGGGATTCGGTAAGGGAACATTTATATTAGGCAGTAATGTACTAAATAATAACCAGTTCGGACCTAATATTACATTTTCGGAATATTTGATTCTCCGAACACCCTACTCCGCACAATGGATTGTGAAAATAGTGCAGAATATTGCGTTCGATGACAAATAAACATGAAATTTGATATTCTGTGCAATGTAATCTCGGGGTCGAAGTATTTGTTAATAGACACCTACTAATATTAGTTTTTGCGTACAAATGATCTGGCCCTACGTGCTGTAAGGGTCCGTTCGTTCAAAGTTGGAGAGGTGTTTTAATTTCAAACAAATGATTATCGAAGTGCAGAAGTTCCCAGGCGTAGAGTTGTAAACTAGTCGATATAAGCACGTAGATATCCTATTTACCACGCAAAATACTAAATACAAATACAATACAATTTTCTGCTGTAGGACGCCAACTTTTGGGAAAGTGATAATGCTATGCACTTGAACAGTGAACATGCATTACACTGTTATTTTATTCCTTCCTTTTCCCATTCTTTTTCTTTCTTTATCTCTTTCTTTCTTTCTTTCTTTCTTTCTTTCTTTCTTCTTTCCTTCGTATCTTTCTTCTTTTCTTTCTTGTAGTCTAGCTTCCTTGCTTTTTTTTCGTTCTTTCTTCTTCCCCACATCCCGTCTTGCAGTTCGTCATTTCAGCGTTTGAATTCAGATGAGTAATGTGAGAGATTACCTCTTGAAATTCAATTACAGGAGATTAGTAGAGCAAACGTGTAGAAACTTTTCATCCACTGACTCAGCTTTAATATCATCCTTGTTAGTGAATGAGCTCCTGCTGGGAAGAAGTATGTTGTAAGGAAGAGATCATTCTAGACAACGAAATTAAAATGTTTTACTGAGGAGAACATGGGAGCAAAAGTCTGGTACAAGCATGATTCATGAACATCTACAAAATGCCATCTTTCTGTCTTTACATCGCAACAAATACGGCAACGCATAGCTCTGTCAAATGGCAAATAACGCGGAGGAAGTGAGAGATCAGTCCAGTCAGCCCCCCAGGTGCGCTTTGGAAGACCACTTGGTCGCGCGCCTAAGAACTCTTCGAGACGTGCGCTTCTTTGCAGCCACCACGCAGCCAATGCCAATGCGGCGACGCTTCAGCAAGCGAAGCCACGATGCGCTCTCGGTTTAGTTTCTCCCGCCCTTGCGCCAAATAACAAAGCAGTTTTAGCGCCACAGCGGCACGGGCGCTGCCTCAATGCACGATCGCCCACGTAATCGCCCTCCCACTACTCGCTCTCTCCAGACTATTCCTTGCTCACTGCGTCAATTCTTCTCACACCCAGCCTCTCGTCGTTGATCGCCTGGCGTGCCACCAAGAGCCAGCCGTGCGGCCTTTCACCCGCACCGGCACTTTTAACATTCCACTTCCTTTCTTCTCCTTCCTTCACTTCCTCAATCTCTTCCACCTTCATCGGCTTCGATCATATTGTCCTCCCCTCACCACTTTTCTCCTTTGCACTCCCTGTATCCCCGAGGCTCATAAAAACGCTGAGCACCTGCTTCCAAATCTACCTCCGGATTTCCGCTTGTAGATCGGCGACCGCTGCGGCGAGTCCAGATTGCGCCCTCTTGCCGCCGCTTGATGGACTACCGCCAATATTCCTCGAGTATTTTAATCCCATTTAGGGTAATCCGAGTGTGCTTTATTCGGATCGGGCCCCTCAGAGGGTGTGGCGGGGGAGCAGGCGGAGGCGGGGACATTATGTCAGGAATTGGTGTCAAATCTCAGAGATATTATTTTGTGGGTGCGCCGTCGCTGGCGGAAAAGGGTTGCCACCGCAGCCGCTTTGAGCGGGAGGCCTCAAGGCCTGGAAAGCACCCGGCCGACTGCTCTGATTGGGATGTGCCTCCTCCAAGGCCAGGCGAATGCCCAAGAAATACCTGAGCAACTGCCCGCGCGCTCTCTCCCTTTCCCTCCGTTGTCCTCTCCTCTCCCTTCGCTCACACACATTTTCTCCTACCGTGCGTTCAAGTTGAAAGGAATCCGATATTTTCTCAGGTCTGGGTGGAAATAGAAACGTTATTTCGCTTAAAATACGTTTTGGTTGTGTAAGACTGAGTTGGCCGTTTTGAAAGCACAGGGAATTCTAGCGGCTGTGGCGAGAGTGAAGAGTGATTATGTAGTTAGTAAGTTAACAGTGGGTCCTTATCAAATAAACTGTGGGTTATTAGTTTTTATACCCGAGGGAATCTCGATTTGTCTAATTTAACCAAGTTGCATGCCGCCTTTTGCCCTTACGCGTCTTCTTATCTCTCTCTCTCTCTCTCTCTCTCTCTCTCTCTCTCTCTCTCTCTCTCTCTCTCTCTCTTTCTCTCTCTCTTTCTTCCCCTCTCTCCCTCTCTCACCCTCTCTCTCCCTCTATCTCTCTCTCTCCCACTCTCCCTCTATCTCTCTCTCTCTTTCCTCTGTTTTACACTCTCGTCAAACGCACCGACCGGGGATAAATTTATACGAACCGAAAGTTAAACGGGAGGGTCTTTTATTCTTCACTATGTATCGCGCTTTTTCGATCTTCGTTCATTTTGTTCACCCATGACTGTTACAGTTTTAATTTTGTTCACAACCTACCTTTTGCCCCCGTCACTTTACATTCCGTTTTAAGATAATCCAAAATCCCTAGTGGGATTTCTGAGCTCTAGGAAACGTTAGTATTATAAAAGCTTAGAATGTACATAATGACTTCCACTACAACTATTACGTCACAGACAAATTGTCGTACGTGTGTTAGACATTGCTTGCGAGAGTATAATTTTATAGTAGCATTTTTTTTACTTTTATGAATGAATAAGACTAAGATATGCGACGTCATCATCCTAGGATTGAATAATTGGCCGTTTTATTTCTTAAGCCATGAAATGATTTAGCAGATAAAATTGTATAATAACAATAACATTTTTTAAATCGGTAGTTAAATTTAACTTCCTTTTTTACAACATCATTTCACAATAAAGTAACAAAAGATGTAGAAATACCGAGTATCGTATAATAAACACCTCATAACGGTAAGACAATAAAAATGCGGTCTAACGTGAAAAGTTCAATAACCTGCAGTTTATTATAACTTTCATGAATCAAGCC